ATTTTTTAAAAAGTAACAACTTTATTGTATGGACACATGTATTTTAATACATAGATTAATATTAACTTCATTCAGGACTTTGTAAAAAAAGATATTAGCAATCACTTCAAATCAGCTTTTACTTGAGCCCACTAGACTATTGGTCATTGCTAGCTACCAGGGCCTTAATATTTTTATCAAAAGTAAAGCCTCCTAGAAGTTTGATTTGTGCTAAGTTCATGAAAAAAATCAGTAGGCTAGTAGAACCACAGATATATTGTATGCTGACTGCTGATTGCAAATGATTCAATGTGTATATATGGTCTGAGCAATAGGTCCTGGAATTTTATTAAAGTTGTGCTCAAATTTTTAGAAATAGATTTCTAATGAAAGATTTCTATGTTGTAGAAAATATGTTTAAAAAGCTAGCATTTTAATAAAATTTCTGTAGTAATATTTCTTACTCTGAAAATTGGTTTATTATTGGTTATGGTTATTTTTCTTGAAAGTCAGTGGTTATAATCTAATTGTTAGTAAGGTTTTTTAAAGGGTCTTTAACTTTCTTGGGACTAACAGAGATACAGAGTAGGGGACACAGAGCAATAAAACAATGGTGGTGGAATTTAGCATTGAGAATGAAGAATAAAGGGAAATTATACATTTTATGTACAAGGTACAGAACAGGGGGGTTCAACTTAGAATGGCTGGTGGACAATAGGATGAGAAAGATAGTTGACAGCCAGCTAGGCTGGAGAGCAATGGGTAAAATTGTGAAATGGGTTCTTTGCCTTTGTTTATTTTTATTTTTGGCTTCATCTTTAAAATTATATAGAGTAGGCATTGTTTTACTTACTTATAAATTGGACCTCCATTAGTTTTGTCCTAAAATACTTTATTTGTGTTGTTCTCTCTTCAGTTTGGTTATATTACCTATACCACAACGTCATTGTGACAAGTAAATGGAAATGTGTGTGTACTTAATATCTTAATTGCTCAATAAATGGTGGCTATGACTGTTACACCACCAACTTATCTCAGTGCCCCTAGACTTTTTGTTCTAGTTCAGATGAACAGATATGTTCCTGCAGTCTGTATCTGTGGCAGTTTAATTTTTAGTGCTACCCATTTCTATCCTGGAGATTTACAAGGGGCACAGATTACAGTGGCTGAGAATTCGCCATACGGGCATAGAAAGAACACAAACCTTTCCAAAGACTAAGTCCAGAGGGAAGGCAGGACAGTTGCTTCTTGGGGAAGAAAAGGTACTCCTCTGAGAAATGACTCACTTTCCCTGATTTTGCTTCTCCCCGGGCTGCTTTCACTTCTCTTGTGACTGTCATTGCAATATGTAGCTCTCAGGGCTCTCTGTTCCAGGTTTTATTCTTGATCAGATGATCCAGCCATGCAAGTCTTTTCTCTTTCAGGAAAACACAGCTGTACCAAACTAGGGTTTTAAAAAATAAAATAGTACTAGGGTTTTAAAAGATAAAGTAAATGTAAAGTGAAACCAAAGTGAAACAGAAGAATTGTAACATAAAAATAATCATTTGGGGGCCCTCCTTGGTGGTGCTACAGGTTAAGTGCAGCACTGTAAGCAAGCTGCAGCTGCTTCAGTGGGAGTTCGATCCCCGACCCTGGAGGTGATTCATGTGGGGAAGCAGACCTCTCCTGACCTGCCAGCTGCTCCCCTCAGCAGTGTACTTGTCAGTCACCCTGTTCTGCGCTCCACTCTGTCTCTGGTGAATCCCCTCTCACCTCCCCTGCACCTCTCGCCTGTACCCCAGTTCTGTGTGCATAAATAAATAACCTTTTTTTTTAAAAGATTTATTTATTCACTCATACAGAACTGGGGTACAGGCCAGAAATGCGGTGGGTGAGAGGATTCACCAGAGACAGAGCGGGGAGCAGAAGCACATCTTATTTCAGATCATTTACTTTTTAGCTGTTCAGTGGCCACACGTGTAGCTAGTGGTGATTGGACCAGCTCTTGTGCTTTGACTCTGTGAGCATTGGCTCAGGGAGCATCAATCCCTATCCCTAAGCCTTCTAGAGAGTGGTTCTCTTCAGAACTGATTTTTAAACCTCTCCATTATTATTGAAATAATTGGAGAATGGGGCATCTCTTTTTGGTAAAAATGGTGTTAATCTAATCCCACACTATAAAAACATAATAATTAAAACAGCATGATACTAGAACAAAAACAGATACATAGACCAATGGAATCAAGTTGAAAACCCAGAAATAAAGCTACACATATATGGACATCTAATCTCTGACATGGGACAATGTCAGAGATTATGCAATGGAGCAAGGATAGTCTGTTTAATAAATGGTGTTGGGAAAACTGGACTACCACATGCAAAACAATTGAAACTAAACCACTACCTCATGGTATACACAAAACCAACTTAAAATGGATAAAAGACTTGAACAGATAACCTGAAACCATCAAATATATAGAAGAAAACAGGTAAAACACTCTATGACATACACTTTAGAAACATCTTCAAGGACTGCAGGAGCATAGAAAGTGAAGGAAAAGGTAAATAGTTTTGACTACATCAAACTAAAAAGCTCTGTGTAGTAAAAGAGACAATAACCAAAACAAAGAGACACCCAACTGATTGGGTGACTATATTTGCACTTCATAAAACAGATAAGGGACTGATTTCAAATATCTACAGAAAGCTCATGCAATTTAATAAAAGCAAACAATCCAGCCAAAATATGGACAGAAAAGTTAAAAAAATACATCTCCAAAGAAGAAACGCAAATGGCAAACAGGTATATGAAAAATTGTTCAACATCACCTATAATCAGGGAAATAAAAAACAAACCACAACGAGATACCACTTCACACATATTTAAAAAAAAACAGCAACAACAAATGCTGGCAAGGATGTGGAGAAAAACGAATTCTCTTTCACTGCTGGTGGTAATGCAAACTTGTCCAACCACTTAAGAAATCTGTTTGGAGGATGCTTAAACTACTAAAAATGAAGCTACTGTATGACCCCAGCAATACCACTTTTAGTAGCTTCCCCAAAGGACACAAAAAAATTAATTTGAAAGGAAACCTGCATTCCTATGGTTATTGCAGCACTATTTATAATAGCTAAGATATGGAAAAAATCTAAATGCTGGCCCTCCACGGTGGCACAGTTGATTAAAACACAGCACTGCAAGCGAGCTGCAGCTGCTTCAGTGCAAGTTCAGTCCCCCTCCAGGAGGTGGTCCACATGGCGTGGATCACCACTCAGCAGTGTACTTCTTCGATCTGCCTGTTCTGCTCTCCACTCTTGTCTCTCATGAATCCTCTCACTACACCTGCACTCCTGGCCTGTACCTCAGTTCTATATGAATAAATAAATAAATCTTAAAAAAAAAATCTAAATGCCCCCAAACAGATGACTGGGTCATGAAGATGTGGTATATACACAATGGAATACTACTCAGTGATCAAAAAAGATAAACTCATGCCATTTGCAGCAACCTAGATGGAGATGGAAGGGATTATGCTTAGTGAAATAAGGTAGATGGAAAAAAGTAAAATATCAGATGATTTGGTTTTATAGGAGGAATACAGGGGAACCAAACAAGGGATCAGGAAAAGAAAAAAAGCAAACTAGCAGGCAAACTATGAACCAGATATATTCTGCAGGGGAGGAGAATGGAGAAGGATCAAAACAGGCAGGGAGAGCACAAGAGATTATGGTGATGCTTCATGGATGAGTTGGTGGTGGGAATTTTATGGGGAGTACACCTGAAAGGAAAAATCAAACATTGTACAAAAGTGAACAATGATGAAAAAATATTTAAATGAAAAATAAATCTAATCTTACAGCTAAGCTATAATTAATTAAAGTATATATTTTACAATACTTTGTTGCTTATATATGCATGTATATATGTGCATGCCCCACAAATATTTCCATTAGTGTTAAAATAATCTAAAACTTAGCTTTTAAAAAACTTTTTATTTGCTAATTTTTAAAATTTATTTTTAAATTATAAGTTTATTTTTACATCATTTTGTGCCTTTTTCCTTCTCAGTTGTAATCCCTGTGGGCTTCCCATCACTAAGTCACCCGTATGCCGTACCCATAGTCGTGTGCACTTTCCCCCTCTCCCATTCCTCACTTCACCCCCATAAAATGTCTCTGGTATATAGTTGTTCATTATTATTTTCCCTTCCCCCTTTTATACTCCTGCTATGAGTGAAGCCATCCGGTATTTTTCTTTTTTCTTTATGGCTTATTTCACTGAGCATGATGATCCCTTCCAGCTCCATCCATGTTGCTGCAAAAGGCATGACTTTATATTTTTGATTGCTGAGTAATATTCCACTATGTATATGTACCACATCTTTTTAATCCGGTCATCTACTTTTGGGCATTTGAGTTGATTCTCTGTCTTTCTGATTGTAAATAAAGCAGCAGTAAACATTGGGATGCAGGTGTCTTTTTGAATCAGTATAAAACACACTTAAAAAAATGTTTCTTTGGAAATAACTTTTAGGTTGATACTACAGTCAAGATGAGCTCTAGTAAAGAAGGTCACTCAGAAATCAGTAATGCAGAAGATTATAGAAACAAAAATGATGATGAAGAGGAAAACTATAATGAGAAAGTAAAAGTTCTTGAAGAAGGGTCAGATGAAGATCTGAATACGGTTCAACATCAGACAAACCCTGAATGTTCAGGTAGGATAATCACTAGGAGACTGAGTAATGATAATTATAGATGATAGTTAAAATATTATTATTACATGTTTCTATTAGCTAAGTAGAAATAATAGAAACCGAGGCATACTTTTTGTATGAGTTATCAAGCCGTGAGTTAAATTTATTCCAAGGTATTTAATTCTTTATGCTGTGATTATAAATTGGATTATTTTTCTTATTTCTCTTTTTTGCTACATAGAAACATAATCATTTTTGTATATTTATTTGTAAGGGGCCACCTAACTCTATTATTTATAATGTCTTTCACTGGAGTCTTTGGCATTATTTAATAATCTATTATAATGTCTATGCAGATAGTAACAGGTTATTCCTTTCCCATTTGGATAACTTTTATATCCTTGTCTATTTGCTTTTGCTAAGACTTCCAACACTATATAACACTATATTGTATAGTAGTGGTGAGAGTAGACAGTCTTATCTTGTTCTTGATCTTAGAGGAAAAACTCCTCCCCCTCCCCCACCATTGAGCATGATATTGTCTGTGGGTTTGTCATATGTTGCCTTTATTATGTTGAGATTCCTTCTCTCCCAATTTTGTTGAGGGCTTTTATTGTAAAAGAATGTTGTAGCTTGTCAAGTGTATTTTCTGTGTGTTTAGAGATAGTCTCATGAACTCTGTTCTTTTGTTTATGTGGCAGAGTGTGTTTATTGGCTTGTATATACTGAAATATCTTTGCATCCCTGAACTAAATTCCACTTACTTATAGTATGAGTTCTTTTAATGTATTGTTGTATTTAGTTTGCTAGTGTTTTGTTAAGGATTTTCACATCTATGTATGTTCGTCAGAGTCTATTGGTTGACAGGGTTTTAAAAAAAATTCTTTTTTTACTGTCCTTGTCTGCTATGTAATCAGGGTAATGCAGACTTTATGGACTGTGTTGGGAAATTTTCCCTCCTTTTCAATTTATGGATAAACTTGAGAAGGAGAAATACTAATTCTTTGAAAGTTTGAGTAGAATTTACTAATGAAGTATAGTCCTGCTCTTTTGTTTCTGGGGATGTTTTTGATTACTGTTTCAATTTTCTTACTCAGGGTGGTTCTGTTCAAGATTTTTTTTTTCTTCCTGATTTAGTCGTGGAATGTTTTATGTTTCTAAGAATTTTTTCATGTTTGAAATTGCCCAGTTTGTTGCCATGTAATTATTCAGAATACTCTCTTATAATCCTTTATGTTTCTCTAGTATCTGCTATAACTTTTCTTCTTTCAGTTCTGATTTTATTTTTGTTTTCTCTCTATTCTTTGCATATCTGACTACTAAATAAGGTTTGCTTTTTACATTAAGCTTTTTAAGAACCACCTCTTGGTTTCATTGATCTTCTTTCTTTTTGAGTCTTAGATGCTTAATTTTTGCTTTAATTTTTGTTATTTCCTGCTTCCTATTCACTTTTGGTCTGGCTTTTCTTCTTCTTTCCAGTTCTTTTAGGTGTAAGTTTTTATTTTCCATATGTGGTTCCTGTTTTCTGCACTGCTCTAACTTTCACATCTATGTATGTTCATCAGAGTCTATTGGTTGACAGGGTTTTAAAAAAAAAATTCTTTTTTTACTGTCCTTGTCTGCTATGTAATCAGGGTAATGCAGACTTTATGGACTGTGTTGCTTAGTATTGCTTTAGTTCTATTAGTATTAGTAGTATTGCTTTTGTTCTATTTTATAGGCTATGATAAATCTTCTCTATGTAGTTTTTGATTTCACCTTTGATTTCCTGACTGACTTAATGATTTCTCATAGGATGTTGTTTGCTCTCCACAGATTTTAATTTAGTTCTCCTCCTTTTAGTTTTTTTATACCATAATGATTAAAAAAAGCTTGATATGCTTTCAATCTTTATTAATTTATTGAGGCTTATTTTATGTCCCAACAAATGGTATGTTCTTGAGAATGTTCTATGAACACTTGAATATGTTCTCTGCTGTTTTGAGGTAGAAAGCACTCCTAAGTATTTAAGTCCATATCTTTTGCCACTTAAGGTTGCTGTTTCTTTGTTGATTTTATGTCTGGTTGATCTGTGCATTCTTGTAAGTAGAGTGTTGTATTGCTATCAGTCTCTTTAGATCTGTTAACATTTGCTTTATATACTGGGACTGCTATGTTAGGTGCATATATATTAATTATCATTATGTCTTTCTTTTGCTTTGATCCCTTTACTAGTTTATAATGTCCATTTTTTAAAAAAGATTTATTTATTCATACAGAACTGGGGTACAAGCCAGAAGTGCAGGG